TTTCTTTTTTTTTTTTTTTTTTTTTCCAGTCCTCAATTCTCCAAGTCTACATTTATAAATTAACAGTGTGACTCCTGTTGTGAAACTGGGGAAAGAACGTCCACCTCAATTTAAACTGGAAACCAAAGGATGCTTTCACATCAAAGAAATGATCAGAAGGGCTGTGTCACATTCCAAAGCCAAAAAAAATTAACAAGAATGCAAACACGATGGATAATGTACCACTGCCAAGACTGTCTGCCCACAGTGGAGATTTCAGCGACGCTGTCCAGTGAAACGGCCTTCCATTTGCCCGGTTCCTCGTCCAGAGCCAAGTTTCTGTGCCATGCCACCTCTCGGAGGGGGTCCTCTTCCGTCACGGTCTCGCATCATGCCACCACCCACTATTCCACGGGGACCCCCAGGGCCTCTATCATTGCGACGAATATCCCTACGATCATCGCCTCCACCTCGGGTCTCTCTTTCACGAGCGGCTCTTGTTTTTTTCTCTTCTACGTTCAAGCGCACCTCACCCCGGAACATAATAGGCTTATAGGGAAAAGCGTTCAAGGCACACGTTAGTCACCGTTTCACAAAGTCCATTTATACAAGGCATATGAAAACACTGCATTCGCTGCATGCCTCAGCCTACCTTCACTTACATGCGAAAGACAAAAATTAACTGTTAACGGTTCCCTGCAGCACACAACCTTAGCCCTAGAGGTCTACAGTAAATGGAACAGCATTTTTAAATTCATTTGGCATGCAAGGAATTAAAACGCCTTTCTCAAGTAAGGGCAGGGTTGTCTTTAGCCTCTTCACTGCCAGCTTTAGCCTTTTCACTTCGGGGCTAAAGTTCCTGAAGAATTGCTCTACTGGGTCTCACTCCCACAGACTAGAAATGAAAACTGCTGCTTTCTCCTCTCCGATTCCTCAAGTCACAACCACAAATAACCTTGCTCCTTTTTCTGAGCCCCAGGACGCAGAATTCAGAGATCCACGTGATGCCCTTCAAAAGGTTATGGACTCAACTTTCAGCTTAAAAGGATCTCTGTAAGTAAGCGTTGAGCTCCATGTGGTGTCTACGTGCAGAGGTAAAAAACCTGAATTTGGTATGACGTGGTTTGAGGAACACTGGCACAGCTTTTCTTTTGTAAGCTACAGAACACTCCTGACAGAACGAGTATGCCAAAACTACATTTTTCTTCCAACTGTTGTCTGAATGCCAGAAACAACAGCAATGCAAGCTGGGATGGCCCACGCTACTTGGGGTTTAGGGCATTCAGTCCATCCTTTGAAGGCTACTCAATGCCAATACTTACTTTTGCAACTAAAATTCGCTGGACCGGCTCAGAATCGTCAAATACCACGAAACCAAAATTAGGCAGTTTTCCTCCCACTCCTTTAGTATTTATGCGAAGTTCTACCACATTTCCGAAGCCTGGGAAAACACAAGGGAAAAGCCACGTTATGAAAAAACCACAGTGCCAGCTCTACCACCCCTCCGCTTGTTCCAGACAACACCTGTAGTGCTACATCATGTAAAAGTTCCCCTGTGTGGCCCTAAGTGAACGTTACGTGACTTTTCAACACAGTTTTTCTTCTTAGTCTCCGCAGCTGAAATTGCTACTTACTCATGAAGAACTCTTTCAGTTCACTCTCATCGATATCATGCGGCAAGTTCCCAACAAAGAGCTGGTGGCTGTCTGGATAGCGAATTATTCGACGATTATCCGACTCATTCTGTTCCATGTCCCCTCTCCCTGTCGTCAACAGAAAGAAGAAGGTAGAGCCACTGAGGTTAGAAGATGTGTGTAGATTTGGATGAACACACCTACGAACAGCACCAAGCACGTTCACTCAAACAATTCTGTATCTTCAGCTCTTGAGCTTATGTTTACCATGGGTCACACAGCAGGGAGGATACTATCTTCCTCTTTACATAGTCCTGACAATTTTGTAATAATACCGCAAAGTATCTGGGTTTTTTTTGTGTGGTTTCCCTGGTTAGGTTAAATCAATCCATGTTAACTAAAACATCTGGCATACTGGGCAAGTTTGCTTAAGAGGTCCTTGTTATATCTTAAATCGTTATACTGAAGAGAAGCTCACTACCTATTAAAACGTACTTTTTAGAAGATTCGGATTTAAGTCACCTCTTCATCAATTCCTTAGCACAGTAACAGTATCCTTACTTTGGCACTCATATTAAAAACAATGTTTGCCAGTCACCTCTTCTGGCTTTCATCTTCCACCATTTTGTCCCAAATACAGGTGAGAGTTCCTCGTGTTCTCTCCAGCTCAACCAAAGTATTAGTATGCTTAGCAGCATGCAAGATAAAATCTTTCCCGGTATCTCCCTACTAAATCATTACCTGCCTCGCCGTGTGACAGCAGCACACCGTTACCCCTTTTGTACCTGAAGTATTACAGCGTAGGTATCTACCCCTTTCTCTCCTCAGCTTCCCCTACAAGCCCATTTACTGCAAGCTTGCTAGCTCGTTTGAAAGCTTTCCTTAAGCAGATAAAACAGCTCGCTGACTTCCTCTGAAAATAAGACCGTAGGGCTGAAGCTCTACCATTTGGCCAACTGAGATTTCAGCTTTTTCTCCCCTGCCTCTGCTACCCCACAGAGTAAGATGAGAATTAAAAGACTCGGGCTCTGTTACACATTTTCTGTATGACTTGTATTACACCCAAGAGTAGCAGAAATGCAGATTTGCAACTTGATTTAGCCACAAGTTGCAGCTTTTGCTCCCTGCTGCAGATGACATGTTAAAAACCCAAGAAATGTTAACCTGTAACAGATGTCACGGTTCTTTCTCGGTGCCTTAAACCCTTTCAGTTTCAGTGTCGTCCCCGCGTGAAGATGTACTTGCATCGATCAAAGCAAAAAGCACTTTCAAGTCCAATCCGTACCACAGTTTGGCATGCACTTACTGAAAACCTTCCTCAGAATGAATTTTAGCTAGAGTTGGTGGAAATGCTTACAGTCGCTGAGACTTAACCGCTTCTGCAGGCAGCGCTCTGCCAGCTTTACATTACCACTTGAGGATAATCGCAAATACCACCCCTCCCCTTAGAACTCATGACTTATTTTCACACTTAGGGAAGACGATGAACTGATCAACATCCTGTAAGTCTGGGCCTTGGACTAGATAGCTTTTGCCCAGTGCTGCGCAGGGGTTTGCCAAGCGACCAGGCTGGACTGATGAATGCAACTCAGAAGGCTTTCACCTCTCAACACCACTTCTGACGACCGTCAAGTAACGTGCGCATTTTCTAGCCAGATCACCCTACAGATTTGGCTACTCTGTATGAGTAAGAAAATGCAGACAGCTGGCTGCTCATAAACTAAGACAAACATGAGGCAGCCAAACTCAGAACGGTATTTTAGACAATTACACAAGATGGAAAAACATGTATAAAATTATTAACTGACCGAGGCTGACACGGTGGGAAGGCTTTCTTCCAAAACAAAGAGCAACAACAGGTACTTAAAAGCTCTTACTTCCAAGGTTCAGCAAAATTAGAGGACATGGAAAAAAAACGTGTTTTCCATACCAGCTTTTCAGAACTGCATCAAGCCACATGAAAAGTACTCAAGCATATAAGCGAGTGGCCTGGCTATTAAAAAACATTTCAACAGAACAGAAGCTTGGAAACAATGCCTGATCTTTGCAACAACTCATTACCAGCTTGGACTCCAAATCATATTTCCCCATTTCTGGTTGAAGGCAGTAGGAACAGACAGTTCATTATCAGCCAAATACAATACAGGTACAGACAAGACCCGTCAAGGAGACACCTCTCATTAACTACTCCCAAGCAGACACATAAGCCGATCCACGTTACCTGGTCGAGGTCCTCGGGGTGGAAAACCCGGTCTTTCCCTGGGACGTTGTTCACGTACACGAGGAGGTTGAGACTGAGCTTCAGGTTTAGTTTCAACTCTTGGCTAAAACAGGAGAAGAACATGCATCATTAAACACCGACCCAGTAAAAAAAACCCCAAAACCCAGAACTCACCAAAACAAAAAAAACCCACAACACAACACATAGATAAGTGGCATGCACAAAACGAACTCCAGAAGATATATGTCCATGTCAATGTTTTTGGGAATACATTTTTTTCACCTCTATAAATTCCTCTGTACCAATCCAGGACTGCAGTGTTCAGTTATCTCTGCTAAAAGGTGCAAAGCAAACATCTCTCAATCAGAGCGTCTGCCCAAAACATGGCTAAGGTGAATTTTCCATGTTTGACCGGGCATTGAGACCCCAACGCTCCGTTATTCGAGAATCCCTCAACCTGACTAAAAACCCCACATAGATCAAATAAAGCTTCCTCATGCCAAGCTCAAACTTCACGGATTAGCAGGTAGTCTGAGATGAACACAAAGAGATGGGCAAATCACATTTTCTGTCTGAGTCCCTGAGGGATTCTTTTCCTCGAATACAGAAAAACTATAAGGAAAGTAGCAAAAAGAAAGAGGAGAACAAAACAAAAGCCCTCAGAAGTGTAAGAAGTATTTCTGATAGAATAAAGCCACCTGAAATGACAATTTCTACAGACTACCTGCTGAGGATATGCTTCAACTTTCCTGATGTCAAGACCACGATGCTCAAAGTACACCGTTCGTATTCTCAGGAACTTGAACACCTATTCCATTTTTTGCAAGCAAAAAATGCTTTTAAAGATAATTTGAGAAAAAGAGACAGAAAACCAAAAAATATTTCTGTGCAGCTTGTTGGTTACTGAAGGAATTTCCAACATCTTTAAAACTCCACTTTCTGTACAACAGTCCAGCAGCTGCTGCTGTGCTGGGTTCTTATCTTAGAAAAACAAAATTATCCTTAGGAGCATAAAGAAGAACACTAGCTTCCAAGGAAGAGTAAACACAAGGTCAACGGCTATAGGCCCAGACTGCTGCGGAGAAGTAGTTTATGTTAAACATCTCCCTTATTTCCCTTTGAGGACTCAAGACAACTGACGGTTCCAGCCAGAGAGTATCCCACAGGGGTAAAAAGACTGTATTTTACATGAAACGTGCAGGTATTACGCACCAAATAAATGTTTCAGCCCTCATATCACTCGTGCTCTACCCAGATAGGCATTAGCTTGTCCTTCCAACCTTTCCAGGATCATTTTTTCAGTTCCAAGAATAAGCTAGAAAAATCAGCCTTCCTGTTAAATCTCTTTTCATTATACCTCCTCATGGGTCACTGGAGCTCCCCTGCCATCTTTTACTCACACATCTTCACGGCATTATAAATTATACCTCAAAGCGAAACTCAATAAATTCAGACCTCCATTTCTTAGACACTTATGGCTATCGGGCTTAAACACTCTGTCCTTCCATCGGCCATAGCAAAGACTTGCTAAGTCCCTGATGTCCTTCTATTAAATCCCAAATGACAGTTAACTTTTACCCGCTTGCTTTGCATTTCACTGAACATCTCATCTATCACACAAATACTCTCTGTCTACCCAAACAACAAACAGCTAATGTCATTAGTTGCTTTCTAATCAGTACCATCCCTTTTTACAGAGGAAGACTGCCTCAGTGCTCTCTGGCGCTGCCTGAAGAGGAAAGCACTTGCGCAAAACTGTGCTCCCCCCAGAACACTGCAATTATTAGCAGCGACACAAGATGCCTATCGAGGGCTGCCATTTACAGCCCAAGCAGCAGCTAACTGCAACTCTCATTTCACAGAGAGCACACAAAGTGGACCGAAAGGCACAGAATAAGGATTTCAACAGACAACGACTAAAGGAGCGCTCAACCCAGGAGCCACGTATGCCACAAACCTCAGCCTAACGGACCTTTGAGAACAATTAAGGAAAAGGTGACATTGTCTCTTCTCTTCAGGAGCTCACATGGGGAGGGAAAGGGACCTCCTTCTGCTACGGCAATGATACTGGCAATGACAGCAAAACCAGCCACAAGTCAGCCTTTACTCACCAACTCTGGAACTGAATACCCCCCTGAAACAGAGGAGGATGGGACAGAAAGAGCAAGGGAAGAGGTGGCTCCAAAGGCTGGTACAATTCTATTTTTGAAATCTTACGAGGCTTAAAAGTTTCTCTAGAGTGAGATGCCTGCCACAATCAAAATGCATGCATGCAAAGAACCAACTAGCCAAGCAAACAAACAAGAAACCACACTTCACATGAAACAAAAGAAAAAATCCCACATCATCTCACCTGAATTCCAGTAGCTAGGTTAGATGCATACCTCAGATAGCTACCACACTGTCTCTGAGGTAAATGTGGACCACACAACTTAACTAAAGGCACTCATCAATCACTTCCACAAAGGCGCTACAGATTATAGAAGAGTCTATCCAGAGTCCGGACAGATTAAAGGTGGTGAGAGAATGCAGCGCCTGTAAACAGATCTTTCCCTGAACTCACCACTTCCAAGCCAGAAGACAAGAGTCAGGGAGCATGCCTCCGTCCCTCCGGCACCCCTACGACAGCTGATGTGTTAATGCAAATGGGAGGCCAGAATATCTGAAAATGCTATAAAGAGAAGGCCCGATTTGTCAGTGTAGGTAGGTTCATTTCTAATCGCCCACAAGAAGAAAAAGAGCAAGAAACGCTGACCTGTTTAACTCCACAGCTGTAAATAAACAGGAACTGAACTGGTTTATATCCAAAACAGTACGTGTGCAGTCCTTTGAGGGGTTATGAGTTAATACTACAGAGGCTATATTTTTAACTTGATAAAAGATGGGGGAATAACTGGAGTGATGCAGAGAAAGGAATGAGAAGGACAGTTATCAGCCGCTTTGTAACACCACTGATGCTGGCTATAACAGCATCCCAAAGAAGCCACCCACCCACTAGTGCAATCTACTGTCCTCATTTACATGCACAGTATCTGGCATTAACGGATCCAAGAGAACAGGAAAAAGCTGCTACTGATATGTAACCCCTTGTAGAAATTGTTCAGGTGCCTTTTCTACCAGTTTTCTGTATACCGCGTCTGAAAAGCGTGCAAGGAAAGGAGCTAGGAAGTGACTAATTCTGTCTCCAGAAGAGTTGAAATTCTTGCCACTTCGGTATTGTTCAGAAACTTCCACACAGAATTACTTAAACGTGAAGTCACAGCAAAAGTAATCTAAAAGGCAGAAAGCATGACAAGCTGCAGAGGCAACGCAGAAGAGTTTAAGGGGACGTGTATAAGCTACATTCTATTCTCTTGTACAGATAATTTTAAATTCTTTTTGCAGTCATATTACAAAAATCCACCCTCTCTACTGCAAATAAATAAAAACCAATTTTGGTTTTGCATAAGGAAAAGCTATTCTGTACTAGAAAAAACAGTCTTTACGGCTCAGATAACACCTAAATGCTCAAAGCCCTGTTGAAGCTGATGAAGACAGACAGGCTTCCCAACTCATTATATAGCCATTATCTGATTTCTGTGACAGCCCTGTCAGACCAGAAGCAACACCATACAAGTTGTTGGTTTTTTGTTGGGGTTTTTTTCTGTTTTCTTTTTTAACATGCGTTTGGCTGAAGGGCGATCCTAGCCAAGTTCCTCTCTGTCAGTAAAAAAGGGAGAAGAAACCAGTGCAAAAACAACAGCTGCAATAACCCAGTCGCTCCACTGAAAATTGCAGTCTTTTAAAAAGGTTGGACATGAGCTACCACGACATACAGTGCTTTGGTATGCAGCATCAGCAGAAGAGGTCAAAGCACACATTTTCTATTTTGAGGATTTTTATACACATGGAGGCAGCTGAATTGAGAGTCTCAGACCGTCTCACACCAGCTTGGCATGTGCAGGACATGAGCCACCACCCGGTCAAACTTTCTTTCCTCTTTCCCCTCTTCACCCAGTCAACCTAGGAATGGGAAGATAGCATTGTCCTGGCAAGGAAATGTGAATCCTTCCATTCCTCACACAGTCATAAGTTGGTACAGGGTTCTGCGACAAGTTAATATAAGTGGATAATGAAATCCAGCGTGCTTCTGTAGACGTTAGCCTTACAAGGCAATCTTGCACCTTCTCAGAAACGGTGCTATCCCTTTTTACCGCTGGGGCACTTCCGCCAATGAAATACCCCTTTCAAACACACTTTAGAAAACTATCATTTTGTGGGGAGTTGGTTTTTGTTTTGTTTTGGTTTTTTCCCTTGTAAACCAAACCATATCCCATTAAGACAGGTCAGAAAAAATTCTGTAGCGATTTCCTGTTTCCACATGAACAGATTTTAACGTCACCATCACCCAAAGTTACACCTGTTACGTGTACGTGCCTTGGCTTGCGACAAGAAGGTGAGTGCATTAACATTTAAGACACAATTAATTTGTGCAATTTAAGTCAAACAAATTGATCTGTTAATTTAAAAAACTGAAGCAGTTTGCAGAAGTAATGAGACAATCCAAGGTGTTCACAGATGGGTTACCTGTGAGACCGGTGCTTTAACATGGGGTGGAATTCCAGAGGAAGAAACAGTACCACTAGGAGGCAGGTTTTTACTGGTCACTGAAGCCCAAGAGAAAGCCTGCAGGAAATGCAACAAACCTAGGCTACTAATCATGGCAAACCACTGACATTCCTACAGGGAAACTCGTCTGCTGAAAATACACTTTCGGTTCATATCTGACTATTAAATAATTGTTGTGCAAGCATTACAACGAAGATACAGAAGGATTTGCAGTTCTAGCCATCTGTGGACTCCAACGGCGTGGAGCAAGTGTGTACCGTGCCCACTATCACTACTTGAGTGAGCCCGGTTCCCTCAGCGTCCCCAGATCACTGCTTTCCATGATGTAACCAAACCTAGGACTGAAAACCCTGTAGTGTTAAGTGTCTTCTGCACAAAGAAAGAAAGTGGATGCCAGAAGTTAGAAGTAAAAACAGAAAAGAGAAAAAGGATTGGGGGGAAAAAAAAAAGCAAACCAAAAACGGGAGACACGCTGGAGCTAGAAAATGACCTCTCTCCAGCTTTCACCGGTTCCTCCCATCTCTTTCAAAGTACCTAAGGGTGACCGTACCAGATGACGCACGGTGCTTTTTAAGATAAGCCATCCTGCCTCTAAGGGAAACAGTCAATGCCCCCATATTGATTTTGAACCTATACTGCCAGCAATTTTGCAAGTGTCAATGTATTATGGTTTTTTTCAAGGAAGAGCAGTGGTTCCTATCGTATGAGATTTTTGGTGGTGGTAGCTTCAGGTGTTTTCTTAACATATGCTAACTCCACATTTAAAAAGGTTTACACATGCATAAAACCACACACACACATACTTTACAAGCAGAGCATTAAATTTACGATAGGTGACTCGAGCAGCACTTAAAAATAACATCCTTCCCTTTTTTAGTGAAACTTTGCACTTTTACAAGTTCAAGGTTCAAGTCTAGCTCATACAGTTCATACAGCATGACACTGAAAAGAGGTACCAGTTTGGCCCCTCAAAAAGGCTAAGTTCAAAACCAAATCTTCTGGTTTACCGTCTGCACCTAGAAGCACAGATACGACTTTTAACTAACCTTTGGTGGTTCTTGTGGTAGCGAAACAGGTTCTACAGGAGGTGGAGATGGAGACTTCTCTTCTAGCTCCTCAAGGGTCTTTTCTTCTACTTCAGCTTTCAGCGCCTCGGTTTTTGTTTCAGATTCCAATTCCGGCTCAGGTTCATGAGACGATTCTTCTAGCGCCTCCTCTATACCATTGCTACAATAATCAAATGCGTTTTATGCAGCTTATAAATTGCTTTGTATTTTATGACTTTTTATAAGCTATGCTATGGTAATGGCTGGTATTAAAAAGATCATTCTGTTTCCAGTTGCTACCATATGGTACCTACATGTACAATACTGTAAGAAGTTAAGCTGTACCCCTGTAGTTGCACACAAAGCCAAATTGTACTCCTGCTGAAGCAAACACGTTTTACAATTCTCTGCAGATAATCTGAAAATCACACAGACGTATAAACCGTTTAAGGAATAGGTGCTAAACTCAAGAACTGCTGCTCCTAAAAGAATAGAAGCACAGTGAGAGACCAATGGAAGATTAAGCTATACACATAAATGAAGCCAATTTTGGAACGAAACCCGCAGATTATTTACAAAAATGCCATACAAGTTCCTTATACAAGGAGTTGCAAGTCTTGTTTACTGAAAATCACATGCAACTTCTTCTCTACTCTGTGTGTTCAAAATGTAAAGCGATCTGACGTTCTTCACTTCTCTCTTCAGCCACCCCAAAAGCTTACCAAATTCCAAATACACCTGCCTATGCAGCTCCTCCCACAGGTTAGCATATGCTTAAGTGACTATCCGATGAATGATGCCTTTACGACTTCTTTCCAATTGGCACAGTAACCCAAAACCAAGACCTGACTTGATGCTTTTAGGCATCAAAAACTTCCTGCATTATCTTGATTAAGCAAGTCACTGCCAGAATTCCAGCAGACTCCCCTCTTCTATAAGATTTCTCATGAAAAGTATTATTTGACCAGCGTTTAGCGTTATCACTGATGCACTTAACAGACATGATCTAGTGATGTCGTAAATGTTTTTTTAACAAGGAAACCAGGAAGTCAGTTCTGGCCCTTTAAAAGGCATTCCTATGTTTCAAAAAAAGCACAGGGTTTTGTTGTGTGTTTCTTTGTGTTTGGGGGGTTTTCTTTGTTTGTTTAATAAAATGTGTTTTTCTTACAAAAACGTAAAGAGACTTTTTTTTTAAAATCTTGTTTAGATTTTAAGACACTCGGGACAGAGACCTGTTCTTTCAATACAGCTGTACAGCAACTTCTCAAAAAGCAGACCTTCCTCTCAGTTTCAAGTGCTACCCAGATTTGAGGAGTAACGTATCATTAACCACCCCTTTGTTAACCCATCTGTTCATATAAATTACATGATACCAACTCACTGTTGTAATAACAAAGACTCCATTAAGTGTGCACATAAACATGGTTGCTACCTTTTCACCTCACATTTGAAACCAGAAGTGAAAATAACTAACAAACGTAAGAACATCCCCCATTTCCTCTCTCCATTCAAGAAGCAATGTTTCAAAATAATATAACGTTAACATAACACAGATCCGTATCAAGTTAAGTGTACTTTCCTAAACTACCTGTTAAATCGCATCCAGAATCCAAAGCCAAAGCAATTCCGTCATATTTATTAAAAAAGCAACTTCATATAATAAAATAGACTTCTTACGTTACAGGATGGTTTTCATAGTAAGTACTGCTTGCATTCTCTTGCACAGGTTCAGGTGATGGTTGTCTTTCCTCCTGCTCCTCTTCCACCTCTTCCTCAGACTCTGACACAAAAAGAAAAACTTCCTTGAACATCTCTGCAAGCGTACACAAGCCGCACTTAAAATAAAAGCATATTAAACTAGTAGTAATCAAAATAAAGCTTCATCAACTAAATAAGGCAAAATTAGCTGCAAAAAAAAAATAGAAGACCCTTCCACTTGTTCAAGAGGCTTTGTTTCTTACTATTTCCACAAAAAGGAGAAACTAGAGACATATTGCTGCTAGGAAGTTCTGGGAGGAGGGTCTGAGGGTCTTTTAAAGCAGCAGATGCTTTTCATATCATGGAAGTAAAAGAGAATGACTGCACTATTAGCTCATAAATCTCAGTGCCTGAAACTAAGAAGATTAATCTCAAATAGAACGATGATTGCCTAAGATGCTTTGTTCCACAGAACCGAGATGAAAAAATTCCAGAAATTATCCAGTGAACACATGTACATACATTCTGGCTGCACTCTGATTTGCTTTGCCTCAGTGAACAGAGGGGAAAAAAACCACCCAGGTCAAGTTCAGCCCCTGAATAGAAATGAATTACTGCATGTGATAATGATATGAAAGTGAACTACGTGCCATATTTGAAAAGGCAATTACGATTTTTTTCTTCAAATCACTTTACCTAAAAATTCGACTGATCAGAGAAATCAAGTCTACCTGATGAAACTAGTGGCAGCAAAAGTACTACTGTTCGTTATTTCCATTCTCTGCCAAGCCTCACCCACCCTGAGCCAGTTCAGCCCTTTGAGGAATAAGGTACTACTATATAACCTTAATTTTACAGAATGTTTTGGACCAGCAGATAGTTCCAGCAACATAACCTATACTCCCTGCCTCAGCCCCCTCCCAAATTACTATGCTCTGTGCGAATGCAATACAGTTTGCGTCCTTCCATCTCCTCTAGACGCTTCTGAAAGCTCTGCATACATGCTAGAGGAACACGAACAAGACAAACTCTGCATGTGCAGTTCTTCTCACCTTCATCAAGTTCTCCTTCTGAATCCCCAAATACTTCATCTTCATATCTGAAGATATCATTATGAACATAGAACTTGTTTGGAACAGAACCCTGCAAAAGAGCAACATGCATTTTTTCGCATATATGGTATATTAGCAGTCAACAACAAGGATGGACTAGAGATACAAGCTTTGGGGTACACACCGACATTTTGGAATAGGATTATTTCACTAAAGCCATTTTCCAAGTGGTACCTCTACTCTAATCAAACAATTGAACGGTAACTTCCACACAACTGAAAAAGGAAGTTTCAAGCAGAAAAAAAACCATTTTTGCTAACTCGCAGCAATCATAGGTTCTAGCTAAATGTAAAGTCCCTCAGTTTCATCAAGGAACTTGAATTTTCCCTATTAAATTTGAGCAGTAACTTGTGCAGCATCAACGCATACTCGCATTTGCCAGCAGACTTAAAGAAAGTACAGAACTACACTAGAGACTTGATCTGCAGAGCTGAACATTATTTTCTTTATTTATTTGTGCCAATGGCAGCTCCCAAATGCAAGCTCCAATTTGCTTGGTATTACTGCTCCAATATTTCAAGTCTAAGAAAATAAAACAGCTCAGGACGGGTCCAATACAGTTGTTTCTCTGCACTCACATAACGTGGCACATTTAACGATAGCCTCTGGGCCAAGCTCTAAAAGCCAGATCATATTTTTTGCCCCAATATGACAAATTGTAGCTACAGGTCAGGTTTCCATCATCATCATTACTTGAAGTTAAACACAATCTTACATATACTTACTTCTGGAGCAAGCACAAAAGTCTGCATGAACTTCCTCATCGGCTGCCCATTGTTCGACAGCTCTCCCATTACTTGCACAACCACCCCATCACTCAGAGTAGCATGAGCATCCACATGACGAATCTTGGTGTGGCATTCGCTGAACTGTAATGACATCACTTTCTTGTGTATCTCCTAGAAATAAAGAATTACATTTTAGCTACACTGAGTTTTGTACAGAGCTTTACACCTTTTAAATACCTGAGTCTGAACAAACACAAAAAAGCACCCCACTGAAGCTCAAACAGTAAATACGAAACCAAGAAGTGTCTTTCACTGAGAAGGGTCTACCTGAGCTCATCCAACTTTTATTCTGAAGTTTTCCACCAGGATTCAAGTACTTCTCAGAGTAGTCAAATAGCATACAACTTGCTGTCCAATTTTTCCAACTGTATTACAACATATGACCTATTTTAAGGCTTTCATTTTTTAAAGAGCCTGTGAGAGGGACAGGATTTACCTTGTGTTTAAAGAAAAAAAACCCCACCATCCCCCAAACAAAAAAACCCAACCCTCTACGCACCCACAAAGTACCCAAATGTCACAGGAGGGGGTAACATCTGCACCGCCAAGATTTTTGTGCTGCCAAATCAGGTTCTGCTGATTAAAGGAGAAGAAACCAAACCTGCCCTGGGCTAAAAGCCACGTTGCTCAAAGATGTGGCTATCACATGAACAGATGCCCCTAGGTGACAGACATTATTCTGATAAAGAGCTACAACCAAAGCGAAAACTTGTGTTTCCTGGACTTACTTCACTTCTTCAAAAGTTATCTTCCACTTTAAGAAAACTCCACTCACAGAAGAATTTGGTAACATACAGAATTCCATGTAACTCACAAAGATCAAAGTCCCCTTCTCAAGGAACCACTTCTAACTGAAATAAGATACATCAATAGCACAAGTCTAACAGGTCCTCTTGATTTTGTTTCCCATCCTAAATAAATTTTCTGCAGCCCAGATGCAAAGCTGATGAATCAGACACAACCCACAGTAAAAGCAGCGACAATCAAACAAAAAAATTCAAGCCAACAAATTCCTATCTGCCTCTGAACAGCAGGCAGTATCACAATACGTTATTTACCAGATAAGAAAGTCAAAGTAATCGGTAAAGAAAAAGACTGGTTTATACAAGTAAGTTCCGAACATCAACAAGGATTACAGGACTGATTTTGATACGCACAGCTTGACCATACACTGCTTCTTGCGGTTTCCCACTGGCATCCAGTCCTCCATGGACATAAGAAGAATTCCTGCCATAAAACCTGCAAGTGAAGAGATGTAAAGGTCATAGCAGTGAAAAAATAAAACCACATCCAACAAGTATTTTAGCCGAAAGTTGTAGAGCTCAATGCATCAGGAATTTCAGCACAAACAGCAATTCAAGATATATTTTCCACTTCCGAGGCTCAAAGAATACAGGAACAAACAAGCTTAATATTCAGTATTCCAGTTTGCCCAAGGTATGTAGCAAGCTCCCAAATCAACCTCAACCTTTCGCTTGCTTCCTTTAAGCAAGGTGGCCGTTTTGGCTTGAAGGTTCCCCAACGTCAAAATCACCTGCCTGTGTTAAAGCCGCGCTACCCAGCCAAGGCGTTAGCCTCGGGAGGAACAACCCGCCTGCCTCTCCTCTGAACACCCCTTCTCTTCAAAGCTTCGGGCAGCAGTGAGGGATTCTGCCTTGGATTCAGACTGCACAGACAATTTGCCTGACCACCCAACCCACTATCCCCATCTATCCTGTCTCTGTGCTATATGTGGCTGTTATTTCACACTTCAGCTTTCTCGGAAGCGACGGCCAAAGAGCTCATTACAAACCTCCAAAGCATTAGAAAAGACCAGATTCCTCTTAGGCACCACAGCTGAACACAAAGCCCCCAGAAGAAATGCTGTCTGAAATCAAGTGTGAAAAAACAGCAAACGAAAGAAGGCCAAACAAAACTGCATCTTGCTGCTGCCGCACCAAGGGATAAATTCAGTACTAGATGTAGCCCAAAAGCAGCGTTGTCTCTGTGCTTCTTACAGTTAGGCAGTGAATTGCATTAATTGCATCATTGTGTACAATAACTGAATCACCACTTATAGCAGCCTCCACTGTATAACTTTTGACACAAAACTAATATTCCATATTTATGCCACCCAACAAGTAGCAGTTGTGGTTTTGGTCTTGTAAATAGCACAAACCCCCGGACCACTCCAAGAAAAACAAACCCTAAGACCCTTTCTTGACCCAGCTTCTGGATTGGATTTCAAAAGCTTATATTTTTTATATGTAATACACGTACACTTGCTTCCAATATTTTTCTTACGTTTCAGAGATCTTTTTGCACTTTCATTCCACTTCCAAATTTCGAGCCTAGAATAGTCTAGGTTTTGGTTTGGATTTTTACTGCCAGCTTATAAAGCACGTGACAATGCTTAATATTTTCTGTACGTTTAAATTAATAGATCAGACAAAACCATCATATCACACCTTTTTTTATTTAGAAGCATGCTTTGCCTTGGGAGTGATTGCCATGAGGTCTGAATGCTAACACTTGCCCTACTTCTACAAGATACCATTATTATCCACCCTTGTACTGTATGTATGAAATAAAGTTTTCATTAAGTACTTCTATAGACTCACTGTCACACAGATTAGCAAGGACACAGAACATTTCTCTCTAGTTAAACAAGCCAATGCAGAGGGTCGGTGTTAAGATACAGAAATAAACACTCGAACTTCCACATTTGCCATTTCTTGGTTTATCCTGATAAACCTAGAAACTCTTTCCAGTTCTACTTTCCCGAAAATACCAACCCAAGATCTTAACTCCCGTGACTATGTCCAGAAAAAACTCTGGGAAATATTACATTGTTTTCTTTGGTACCAACTGCATAACCACGTTTTTGAGCACGGTCCAGCACTTCCTAACAGCAAGGAAAAACAGAAGTTCAGCTGAAGCAGTGTGCAAGCAGATAGGAAAACATCTTTTCACTCTCTGAATTCCAGAGTAAGCCCTCTGACAGTCAGCATATCTTACTAAGTGCTTTCACAGGGGGTCCGAGAGTTTTAACTTGCTTTTAACGAACTGTTCAAACTCTTTGGTAGGCAGAAAACCTAACAAGTGGGAACTGCAGATCAGGAAAGGAGTAAACGTTAAAGTCCCCAGTTATACGGAATTACAGATTTTCAGTTAAGGGGCCGGTAAAGCCATATAAATTCACCCAAAGTGCAACAGGCATGCAAACTACACAGAGTAACACCCATTTAGCGGGCAAACTGATCTCTGCTTACCCATAACCCCTGGATAAGCTTTGGATAATGACTAGCGACAGGATACTCGGTGCTTTTCTCAAGCTTTTAGTTGGGTAAACCAATAGCTTCAACACTTGCTGTCTACGCTCCCTTACCGCTGCAAGGAGCACATCAAGCATCAGGATGCCATGAAAACCAAAATCTTTCTGTGGCAGCGAGCAAGTTGTTGTTCAGACTAACAGCAAAGGAAAGAGGGAAGATAAGACGCCCTCTCAGAAGAGCATCACTCATAAACAAGGTGGGGCCAAAGAACAGAAAGGCAAATGTCCTCCATATCTGAGCGTGACTAGAAAAAGGGAGCCGCCTCCGCAGCCCAAAAAAAGGGACAGCAGTGGCAGAGACTAAAACTGGCTAGAAGACATTTCACACAAGCAGCTCAAGAATCAGCTACGATTCAACCAAACCAGATCAAAACCTCTAGGATGCTTCTGTGCAGAGGTATCTAAGAGAAATTTCACAGATGCTATTGTTAGTGACACTGGCGCCACCTTTCAAGTGGACGGAGAATATTCGTGAGCACAGAGTATCACCTGCACCAGGGGAGCTTGCCTCGTGAGTGTCTATCCAGCTCCCCCGACCTCAGCAGGGCCATTCCAGGAGACAGTTAATTGACCAGTCATCAACAGCCCCTCCACTTTATAAAAGAAGAAAAATTCTGTAATGTTTTTGGGCTAGAGCCCTTGATGAAAACACAGTTCCTGCAAGAAGGTAAACTCTATGGACAATTCCCTGTTCCCACTCAATGTACCACACACACAGCATAATTTGGAAAGCTGCATTTCGGAGTTGTTTGAGTAAACCTTGAGTTTTAGAGGGGTGGGAGTAATATCTAGTACCTCCTATAAAGCACCAAAGTTGTCTTCAACAGGCTAAATGTCTCCGCAGACACCATTTTTCCTCACATGTACGCTTCTGTCAATTTCATATAACCCCAACCCGGAAAAATCAGTCTACATCCCAAACGTTCCAGGAACACCAGTTCCATAATGCTCCCATAGCATGTGTTAATATAGATGCAACGGAAGTAATGTTGCCATACTAAGGGAAAGCAGGAGGGAAGGCAAACCTGGAATAGCTGGCTGCTCTTCATTGACTGAAGCAGTTATGGAGGAAAAACATACCGATAGCATTTTGCTTCTTAAATCAAAACACTCCCCCCTGCCTCCAAATCCTACCAAGGTTACAGTCACTATCATTACAGGTAAACGCTCTTACCAGCAAAATCAAAGACTACTTTGAACCCCAAGTTTGAGGCATGGGTGATTTACCCCAATATACAGTTTAACTGCCATTGAAAATAAGCGTTACAAAAGGAAAGGCAATCTCATCGTAGAACCAATGTAATTCTCCCTCTGCCTTCGGTATTAAGCTGTGAAGCATGGCCTAATCATCCCTTATAAACTCTTCTCTGTCTCTTTGTTTATGCAAACAATTTCCAGGTTTCAGAGCAAAACGACAGCACGCTTCACAAGAAACTTGTCTTACTAACTTGGGCTTTTCTATCACTCAAAAATGACCCTGCTGTTCCGATATCAGGATTTCCATTGCATCATTTGCTCAGAACGTAATTGTTGCCTTGAAAAACTGGTATAGTCACACCCTTTCTAAGTCTCTTAGCAGAATTTCAACTGCCTGACCTTTACAGGCGATGGATAGTTACGGATATCGACAAGATGCTAACTGCTGACAGACCTGCCTAAGAGGTGCCTCCCAAGCTAACTCCAAGGCAAGGGGTCCTTTCCCAGGTCACCTGGGGAAAACACCCAGGCATGATACGTACCTAAGGAACGCAGTTCTTGGGTCAGAGAGAGCTGTCAGTTTGTAGATCAGGTATCGATGTGTTACATGGACATACTTGCCCAGTTGTTGATCTGATCTGACTCATTTGTTGAAGTTTTGAGGGCGAGGAAAAATTCTGCAATTGCTAAAAATCCTGCTTTTCACTTCTCTTAGATTACTAAACATAGACTAGGAAAGCCTGGAATACCCTACTCAGACACCTTAAAAACCGATTTAAACGCAGAAAACAACATGGTTCTACAGCGGTTCAATGATTTAAGTAAAAATGATACCATTCATTTTCCCTACCTCAAAGCTACAGATGAAAAGAGGCATTATTCAAAAGACTGAATTCTTAAGCAAGCCATCTGAGAGTTCTAACTAGTGCTGAACCAAACAGTCCAATTTTTCACCATCAACCTTATGTCGAGTTCTGAGACAAGCCCAACCCAAGCAGCGGCTGCTTTTTTTCTTTTTATACACTGGCAAAGCGACTTTCACCTTCATTTATTACAAGTCCATGCTGCTCTAAGTCCAAATGTGGAAATGCAAAATCTTAAGTGACAAGCTGTACATAGCCAATCAAAACCAGAAAAAGAAGGAGGGGGGGAAAAAAAAAAAAAGAAGGAAGAAACACATTCAGAGTACCACTTAAATAGTGGACACGGGTAAAAAAAAAACTACTGTATTTTCCACCTACCTTGTCCAGGCCGTGACATTTATACTTAAATCTCCAATCATAATCTGAATAAAAATTTCTCAGAGGCAATGCAAAATATGGCATCCTGAAATAATTAGCACGCTTGTCTTCGGTACTAAATGCAAGTGCTTCCTCTGTCATTTCCTTTCCTTTTCTTTTCTGTCTTTTTAGAAAAGTATTTCTGGAATACATCCACATTACCATTTTATCAGCTCACTTTTCCACACAGGAAATACCTTGCTAACATGCCATACATCCGTACGATCAGACTCGGTTCTAGAGCCTAAGGAGTTTTCAGTAAGACAAAACAGTTTTCCAAGAGCCCAAAAATCAGCCAGGTCCATTTTCTCCCATACTCAGAAATTAATGTTGATCTGATTTATAATGAACAGTACACACTTTTGTTCAAAAACATTAGTCACTTTGTGTGTGAAAGCGTTACCTGTGCAAGAAGTCAGGAGCTTTATTTAGCAGAGTGTAGTACTGTCTCACGAACTCCCGCCCTACGAGCAGGGGACTTGGCTTCTCCATCACCATTTCTTTGGTACACAGTGTCAAATGCTGTAATTAAAAATATTCACGTTAGTTTGAAGACAGCCCTGTATCTCACAAGTTCCCCATAAAAGGATGAGCATAATGATATTAGAATTGAAACAATTATGTGAACAGGAACTTAATTCACACAGAACTACTCCACCAATTCAGGTCACCCTCCCGCACCTCCTTTGAGTAAATAAAAGGATTTCAGTCAATTCATGTGTTACTGTGACAAAGAGGGAACAGTGGAAACAAAGTCCCTTACAGAACAGGTGCTTTTAAAAAAAACAAACCCACCCGACCAAGCAAACAAAAACCCAGTTAAAAATGTCTAGCACCGTTTATTTAACCCTTTGGCAATAAACTGATGAACAATTAAAAATCCAAGTTCAACAGCACTGCAAAACTAAATGGAATATATTTTCTTAAGTCAGCCAGTAACATTCCTTTATCTCAAAGCACATCTGCTTCAAAATGCTACTGTCACATCTGTAACACGAAGATGGTAGCACCAATATTCTGAAATAATTATGTGGGCTGGATTCATATTCCCTGAAGACTGGGAAGGGAAACCTTTATGCCTCAGAGATCACCAAAGCCTTAGGTACTACTTGTCCGAGCTAACTGCATTTCACATTCGTCAGAATAATTTAGGTTGGAAAGGACTTCTGGGGGTCACCTGGTTCAACCCCGGGCGCAAAGCATGACCAGTTTCTAACATGTTGCTCATTAAAACAAGTTCTGAATAAGGTTATTTGCTAACATGTAAACAGAAATTCCATTTGCAATTTGTGCCTGTCGGCTGTCATTTTAACATGGCGCACCTTGGAGAAGTATGGATCCACACCCTCCCACCAGGTAGTTGAAGGCAGCAATAACATATCATCCTCCCACTCCGGTCCTCTGTTCTCCAGGCTGAACAAGCTCAGCCCTCTCCAAGTCTCCTCTCTCTGGGTGCGACAATCCTCTAACAATCCTGGTGATCCTACACCAGACCCATTCCAGCATGTTCGTTTCTTTCCTGTACTGAGGAGTTACAGCTGGGAGCAATACTCTGGGTGTCACAAGAGTCCAAATGGAAAGGAAGAATCACTTCTGCTCACTATACTCCTGCTTAGGCAGCCCAGAACGCAACCGCCCTTCATCACTGCAAAGGTACGCTGCTGACTCAAGTTCAACTTTTCTGCCAGGACACCAAGGTCCATTTGTGCAAAGCTGCTTCGTATCCAGTCGTTTCCCAGCCTTTACTTTTGCATGCAGTTTTTCCATGCACACGCAGAACTTGGTAATTTGCCTTTGTTGAACTTTGTGATGTTCCTGTCAGCCCATTTCTCCAGCCTATCCCTCCAGAAACTTGCTGCAGATCGCTTCAGCCCATCATCCAGGTCATGAGAAAGGCGTTAAACAGCATTAAACAGCATCAGCCCCAGCATTGCCCCCAGAGAAACTTCGCAAACGGCCAGCTACCGGTTGGACTTTGTATCGCTCACCACAACCTTTTGATGCTGGCTGTCCAGACAGTTTCCCACCCACCTCATAGGCTATCTGTTCAGTTTGGCTCCCAGGATAGTACAGAAAACCAAGGCCTTACTGAAATCAAGGTAAACCACATCTATTGCACTTTCCTCATCCACTGAGCCATCGGTGCCATCGCAGAAGGCAAGCTAGTTTGTCAGTTATAACTTGCCCTTGCTAAATCCACGCGGGCTGTTCCAAACACGTTCTTGTCCTTCATGGATCTGAACACAACTCCCAGCAGGACTTGCTTTACAAGCCTTCCCAGGGATCAAGGAGAAGTCGGCCAACCTATAATTCCCCCAAGTCCTCCTGCCTCGAACGGTTCTTAGTTTTACTTGCTATGCTCCTACCCATCCATACTGTCTTGCAGATCATCCATGTCATAAAATGACCTTCAGCACTCTGGAAATCTTTCTGATGGCTTGCCAGCACCCGACACGTTGCTTTTTCCAGCTCATGTCAGGAATGCTGAACTCACTCCTGAATACCAGCGTCTGCAATCATGAGATTCCCTCCAGTTCTCTAAAGAAAACTTAATCTACTTTCTCTCTCAAAAAACAAATTTGTAGGCAAGGCAGGCAAAGAAGACCAAGTCAAAAACCCAAGTTTCCAACTTGGGAGATAATCCCAAAATAAGATTTTTGTTTTCTTACTAAAATAACCTCGACCCATCAATCCAAGCCAAGGGCCAATACGAAGGGCTGTTTGCAAACAGCTGGACAGGACGTAAAGCATATGAGGTGAAATTGAGAGATTAACCTCAGCTCAAGAAGGACCTGTAGTAAAGGTAAAACGTTCACAGGAACGGTGCCACAAACATGTCAGATCCTGCATCAAAATGGAATTCTGAAGAAAAAAGCCCAAGTACTTAACTCAAATAGTTCGTACTTAACAGACCATCAAAATACTCTCAACCCAGCAATCCAAGCCACAAGACAAGACCAAGAACTGCTCCCAAATACAGTTAGCCAAGAATCACACTTGAAGCAACCGTCTCAAAAACTTGTAGGCAAGGCAGCAGGCAAAGTCCGAAATACAATTTTTGAACTTGGAGATAAGAAATCAGAAAACTTATTTTAGGATTATCCAAAATTTTTATTATAATATTCCAAGACTCTGAAACACAGTATTAGTTGTGACTCACGGGAAGCCCCGGGGAAGTCATTTTGATAATCAGATGCAAACCCAAATGTCAAGAATACTAAGGGACATCAAAGGCTTGAGCCCTGTGCATGTTCAAAGTGGGAATTTCCAAAGAAACAAAATCTGAGCAATTTGGGGATCTTCCTAACATGACACATACTACAGCAATGGCACGCACGTGGGAATTTTACTTAGAAACCAACCTTAACAGAACAAGGACCTCAGTTTCTATAAGTGAGACTATTCTTTTTTTTGCTCCCCTGCTCCACAAGCAGATGATGAACACAAAATTGGTGATACAATCTTCACCACAAGCGCTTGTGAGAATACACAAGGACGGAGCTTCATCACTTTTTTTTTTTTTTTTCAAAAACCTATTAAAAAGCAGATCATAGCCAGCACACATTCTTATGAATATAGCAATAAGCAAAGTACATATGTTAACAAATTGCTGGCATACCACAAGGAACACTGAAAATGCCTCTGGGTACAAAACATAATAATCTGTGACAAGTCATTACACTACATCAGATCTGTATCACACTAGATCTTTTCTTCACTAGAAGCTGTGCTATTTCAGGAAAGGCCGGCGAAACCCTTCAGAAAATCTGAGAAAGGCAAGTATGCAATGATCACACACAGCCAATTCTTCCCTAACAACTTGAGACAGAAGTTGGTTTACATGCTCAAAGGGATGAGTGCCATCCACCTCTGTCCATATTTCAAGTGACAGCACTATTGATTTACATCACAGAATCACAGTATTTTACCGGATGTCTCAGTACAATTCTTCACCCGTCTCAGTACTATTTCCTTTCATTTTCTCTTTAGAGATCGCAATAGGGGTAGCAGAGGCTTAATGAACTGTTCAGGTCTCCAAGTCATTAAAAGGCAGTAAAATAAAAATGCAGGTACTCCTTGCTATCAACATGGGTGCCATGAAACCAGGTTTTAAAAAGATTGAAGTCTCCACGTGTCTCAATTAGTATAGCACCTCCTTAAAGTCAAGGACCCGAGCCTTAGCAGGCCCGAGGGGTTTGGAGGTAAAGGCACCGGTGAAATTTAAGCCAAAACCCAAGGCATTGGCATCAACAATTTAAATAGTCCAAACTTACAAAGAACGGTAACCCCGTGTTTTACCAGGCACTAACGGAAGCCCCATAGATACACATAATCTATAAAAGCTATTTTTCCAGTTTTCATCGGTACGTACTCAAGAGTTAAGGAGTAACAGCTAAGAAAGAAGGATCTGAGCGCTCTTCTCACTTCAATAAAATGAGCCGCATTCTTAGATCAGCATGAGCAGCCATTGGGAAAGTGTCTTAATGAGAACTTACTGCTCGAGGCACTCGTGAGCGTAATAGCTAGAAACAAAATACTGAAACTGAGATGGCAAACACCAGAAATCAAATAAATTTCTCTGCTACTTTCTTTACGGTGCAACTGTACTGTTAAAGAACCCCCCTCCATCATGCACACCGATAAAAGCCATAAGCTACACAGACAGGGTAACACGAACACCCATGCAATTGCTGCTCGTCCACAGGTAATCCTGCCTACATCAAGCTGACATAACGATTAATTGATGAGATTTAACTTCCACCCTACTCAGTACCTCCGATTCCTGTGCTACCAGGAAGGCACACTGGATTTGCAGTGCATTCTTGAATCAAGGAGAACCGGCAGCCACGTGATGTATTTCGTAATAGACTCGCAAGCTGGAGGACTAAACGAAAAGTGGAATCTCTTTCTTCTCCAGACAAGGCTCAGAGGTAAGGGACCCAGAGGCACCCACCCGAGGGACCGGACTCCAAAACTGAAGGAACATGCACACGCGCCAGTGCAATGCTTCTTGCAACTTCAGTTGGCTTGACTCAAGTTCGTAACAACTTAACAACAACTTAAGCCTACAGGCGGGACTGGATAAGCTTGTCACCATTACCTCAAACAACCAAGTTCCTATCTTGAGTTATTTCCATGGTCACTTCTTTCAAGAAAACAAAAACAATGCGAGAGTTAGCACAGAAAGGAATTATTTGTTATTTGCATGCAAAGATAAGCAAATGAAAAAACCAGAAAGGATATTTTCCTAAGAAGAGCAACACCAAGTGCAACTGCGGGGTAGTGCTGAAATAAATAGTAACGTTAATGTAACTTTGTGACAACATCCCAGCTACATTCTGTCAGATTCTGCTACTGCCCTCAGCTCTGCAAAAAACGTCTTTTAATGGCCAGGGACAACAAATGCCAGCCGTGACAAATAAAGCAAGAAGTTAGCCTTTGCAACGAGATGAAAGTGTTGAGGGCTAAAAGGATGAGATATAGCTCACGTTAGGACAATTGTGCTGAAGTACTTGGG